CCCCCCCCCCCCCCCCGTCCCCGAAGCGGCTCAGTTCGTCCAGCGCGTCCCGCGCTAAGGTCGGCATCACACCATCGGGGTCCTCCCCGTCCCCGTCCCCGTCCTACACCTTTACCCCCACATCAAAGCCTGTCCCTTGCCTCATCCCGAACCAATCCGAACCTCGCACGACACTGCCTGCCACCATACCGGCCTGCCTGAAAAACCGTGCCCCGAAGCCTGGGTGTCCCCGGATCGCTTTGTCTACAGAAACCACAACTTGACAAACGGAACACACTGTCAGCATCCCGGGCGCCCAATCCAGCACTCTTCATCACTCTTCCAGGACCCTTTTAACTGGTCTCGGGGCCATCTACAGCATCTTGGCTCTCTCTCTCTCTCTCTCTCACCGCGTCGGACGAACCGAAATCGAGCACTGCATGCCCTGCAGCCCGTCCTGGCTCCTCTCCAGGAGCTCCTGGAAAGTTGGGCTTCGGGATGCCACTGCCATCGCTGTTTATGTGTCATGTTGTTGAAAAATCGTGTATTGCCAAAGAACACAGCCGGGCCTCCCGGCTCACTGGTCTGTCCTGCAGCTTCTGTTGAGCCTCGTCACGCTCACGCAGCGCCGACTCGAGCTGCTGCGCCTGTTCCGAGTACTGCAACCTCAAAACCGTGAACGACCTAGAGAGACAACGTCAGCGCCCTGGGGCCCTGGAGGGTTTTTTTTGTGCGCAGAGACAAGGTTTCGGGAGCCCGTGGCCTCGTTCGAAGGCATCTGACTATCATGGTCTTGCTGCTGTTAGAACATGTGGCCGCATCTTGACAGCTTCTGCCAAGCACCCCAAGCCCTCCGTGCTGCTTTCGCCCACACTCTGAAGCAGCACAAGAGATCGAGACCTGAACGTAGCTCTACCCCAAGACAATCTTGGACTGTGCAGTTGTGGATCCATACGAATCGAATCGCCTGGGCGGCGCTGGCGTCCTCCATCGACGATAGGTCGCCCTGACGGGTTTCAAGGTCTTGCTGGATCCGGACTAGAAAGGGAGAGTATAATAATCAAATCGACACCGGAAAATTGTAAAATGACAGGCGAAGCAGAGGACAGCTCTGGAACCCACCCCCGTTTAGAAACCCTGAAGTAAACTTCTTCCGACCTTGCCTGCGTGTTTTCATCATCTCCGATGAAGAAGGTCTCCGGCTCGGGTGCATCCGCTGCACGGCGGTGCTCGAGAGCTGTTATCGCCTCTGTCATATCTCTAGACTCTAGGTTTCTCCTTTCTGTACATGGGCCTTTGCACCTCAAAAAAGTTTCGGAGCTTACGTCTTCGGCTTGCAGGCATGGGGCTTTCGGGCTTCCAAGGTTTCTGAGCTCACGACAGGAAGTCTGCTCTTCTGCTCACTGAAAACAAAAAGGGTGTAAGGGCTGAACGGCCTTCGGGTTGTAGGGCTTACGAGCCTAGGGTATGCAGGGAATAGCAGGAGGAGTTGGCACCTTGTGCTGCCGGCTAGGATTCCGCAACTCCTCACCCGTCAGCTTCAGCCGACCGAGTGCCACGACGGGCACTGACGGGTCATCAGAATTGACTAGCGGTTTTAAACAGCTTGCCAAACTCAGTGTATGTGCACCATCTTGACTGAGAAGCACCCATCCCAATCCACTCCATGCAAGCTTTTTGGCAGGCGCTCAACTACCATAAACCGTGTCGGGACGTGCCTGGCTGCGCTGCTCGAGCTGCAGCTCCACCTTCATTGGATATCTCTTTGCACGGCCGGGAAGGTCGGACTTCGGCAAACTTGAGGCTGCAGAGACTGTCGGGTGCACATGACTTTCGCGCCGAACGACCCGCAACCCTTCCCGACTTCGATCGAGTGTCCTCAGCAAACACCCTTTACTTTCCTGGAACAGGCAGGCACATGGTACTTCAGAAAATCAGAGGCCCTTAGATTGGTGGGATCCTTCCAGATCCCTGCGATAATTAAGCGACAGACAAGCAACCTCACCTTCCGAAACAAAACCATACATCCACACATAGACGTGACACCAAACGAAAGCAATCTGGGCCTCATTCAGTCGTGCCTGCAGCTCTTTGCTTGCCTGGCTTGGAAGGCATGTTGCGGAGTAGCACTGTCGGAACCTATCTCCGAACACGGCTGCCCAACAAAAGGGGACAAAAGAAGCACAGGCTGGCTAGCAGCTCGCCGCCTCATGTGAGCTTCATCAAGCGTAATTCTGAGTTTCTGTCGTGTACGAGTACAAAGCATCCAAAGTTCTTGCAGCTCCCGAATCATGCATATCACACAACCGTAATTTCGCCGTACAACAGCCCTGACATGCTAGAGTCTGGAGTGGAAGCCGCGAGAAACAGCACATGTCACAAAAACAATCCCCGGCCTCTCTGCTCTGCACCAACTCCTGCTGGAGAGATTCCTGCAGGTCAGGGAGTCACGCCTCGAAGCCTCCACCGAAGCCTGAACTCGCAAACCCTAAACCTAACGGCCCTAAAAATCCGAAGCTCCTAAAGTTTAAACCTCGGCCGAGTTTCATTCTCCGTGGAAAGCGCCCGGACGGCATCTGCCGCTTGAAGGTTCTCCTGTTTGGTGCAAGCATAATACTATACTAAACTGTTAGAATATCGTAGGTCATACTATATCACCTTGTATTACATTAAAGTATAGTTATGTAGATTATACTACATCGGTTCATAAGTGGTTATAAGGACCAGTAAACGAGTTCTTGTAGTCCAAACTTCCCCCGACCACTGGTGGGTGCTAGCACCGCATGAGTCGGACTACAGCCGACAGTCGGATCGTGCAAGCTGTGCAGCTCGTCCTGACTCCGTTGCATTGCCTCCTGCGAAACGCCCCAACAAATGTTGAGCTTTCAGGCTACTGTGAAGTTTCCCATATGGGGGTTTCCGAAAATAGGGGACCCTAATACAGTACCCTAAATAATAGGATCCCTATTATAAGGACCCCAAAATAAGGTACCCCTTATTTTCTGAGACTCCCATATAGCACAGCAGGCTCGAAGGCCCGGGTTTTGATGCGTCCGTTCTAGCCTCTGCGTCCCTTCTAGCCTCGCTTACACAGACTCACCGCCAAGTCTTCAACACAAAGTCTTTTCGGGCTGGACAACTTCAGCACTCACTCTCGGACTTGCCTAGGCTCGGGCTGGGCATTTTAGGGTTTGGGACCTAGGGCCTAGGCAGGCTTGGCCTGATCTGCGAGATGTCTGTCCTGCAGCTTCTGTTGGGCCTCGTCACGCTCACGCAGCGCCGACTCCAGCTGACCTGCCTGGACTTCAGGGCCACTATGCTTGCGAACATGAAAGGGCGTAGTCACTCCCACTGACCATTAGGGACTGAAACAACCAGGAAGCTACATAACTGTAACTTTCACGATTTCTGGCCTGTGTCGGGAGAGTTCGGCTGGCAGGTTTTGCTTAAGGCTTATGTGGTGCCAAGCCGCATGGCAAAAGCACTCTTATGTGCTGCGTTAGACATTGCTTCGTAGCTTAACCTTTTTATGCATTCGTGTAAGTTTACTATACTTCCAGTATATGTGATAGTAGAAACACGCATCCTTCTACATCGACGCATTTAGAATCTTAAGCAGCCAGAGGTTGAAAAGCAAGCCTTCAGCAGCGAGGTTCGGACAAATTCCTGTAAGACCCATACATATATATATATACATATGTGTAGATAATTCTGCACAAACCCCCGCAACACCCAAACAACCATGGAGGCCAAACCCCTGTATGTACGTAGGTAGGTAGGTAGGTAGGTAGGTAGGTAGGTAGGTAGGTAGGTGGCTATGAACATTATAGATTATATACACATCTCCTCAGCTTACATAAGAAAGAGAGAGAGAGAGAGGGAGAGAGGGAGAGAGAGAAAGAGTATACATCTATCCATGTGTATATATATATATACACACACCCACCCACCTGCATGTGTTTTTGCATGTGTGTCTTTACTGCTTTAACATGATCGGGTTGCATGAGTCTCCCATTTAGGATATGTAAGCTTCGAGTGGGGAAGGCCTGGCCTGGGATACTCCGGTCTCCTGGATCGAGGCCAAATCGCCCTGACAAGAGACCCGGTCGTCCTAGGGCTTAGAGTTGAGGTGTGCCATAACATGGGTCTTTTTCTAAGGGGTTTCAACGATTCTTGCGTAGGGCTTTCGTGGTTTATCCAAGGATTTAGCAGTCATTACTGTTACTGTTATCGGTTTATGGTAGTTATATCTATGTACCACATATGTTCTTGTTGTGAGCATCTAACACTTTATCTTGCTGGTACTTTCTACTCATCTAGTGTTATGCATCTGCTTATCTGAATTGTTCGTTTCTTGCCATAATGAAAAACTGGCAAATGTCATCAGCAGCAGTACCTGTAGTCCTTCTGATTTACTTTACTTGGTATTATTGTTTTTCGCTACTGTCCGTAGTGGCTGCATTTTCATGTCATTACTATTTCCGTTAATATGAGTATTGGCAGTATTGATGCATGCATCTTGAGCTTCTGAGATGTCGTCAAAAATCGTGAGAATGGGGGCTTCTTGGGTTAGCAATGGCAACACGGCACACGGAACCATCACATTTCTCGGAAGTCGTACTACTCTAGGTCTAGGGCTTGGGGCGTTTAGGGCTTCAGGTTTGGTTCTTGGCTCCTATAGCACCTCTGAGCAGCTCTTGTGCTCTTGCACCACCCGCTCCAAAAACTGCCTTCAGGCCCTGGATTGCCGTGGCGTCCGCTGCACGCTGGCGCTCGAGCTCCGTCAGCGCCTCACGGCATCCGGCTTCGGGTACTTCACCGAGGAGTACCGTGACAGTATTATGACGGGGATATTGGACTCGTGGGATTGTACCCTGGCGCCACGCATCCACTATATAGCAGTAGCTGCCAGTAGCAGGCATCAAGCATCTCCTTTTGAATCATAGGTGACGAAGCTCCATTCGATCTGCGCACGTCGACTGGCGCGCATCTGTTAGAATTAGGGTCTACTAAGTCTACTACCACCCGGAGAAGGTCAAGCTTCACGCACTCCCGCTTTGCCAACATGAGCGTTTGCCACCGCTCACGTCCTTTATCTTGCTGAAGTCCCTGCAACACTGGGATGTGCCTGACTCCGCTGCCCAAGCTGCAGCTCTGCCTTCGTGGTTTCTCGTTCTAAAGGGCTCCGTGAACATAGGAGGGCACAAGTCATCAGGCGTCTGCCTTGCAGCCTGCAACTCAACCCTCAACCCTCAACCCCAAACCCAAAAGAACTCCCATCAAGCTTCGGGCAACAACTTTAAGTGGCACGACCTATGCAAGCAAGGAGATGGTGGGCCTCTTTGAGGCGGGCCTCCAGCTCTTTGCTTGCCTGCGGCTTGCGAAAGAATGCAAAGTGTTGTACCTCGAAATCTTGAGATGGTTTCGGGCCCAAGTTTCTAGATTCACCTTATAAGGCCGTTGCGGGCAGGTGTCCTAATTCGCGAGAGGGTCAACAGTAATTTGAGAGACCGACTGCACACTGCACGAAAAGCCTACGGCCCTTTTGTGCTTGATCTCGGGGCGACAACGCAGGAAGAAACGTTTTCATGACCAAGAGCCTCCGCGTCTCCCCCTACACAGCCTAACATGCCGAACAAATATCGACTGGGATGCATGACCCTCGTCGGCATTTGCGACGAAATAAGTCGACCCAGTTGTCCCTTGTGTTGTTGCTTGTGTCCCGTTTCTGAAATACACTGAATCACACCCAGGAGATTGCACAAAGCCTCTCAAGGTGCTGTTCTTTGGAGACCTCTGCGAATGCCTCGCCGGTGCAAGAAACCCCACTGCCCCCCCACAGATCTTATGGGCTGTCCAGATCTGTCTAGAGTCCAGATGCGGCCACCAAACATCCGAATAACAAAAGTTGCCCTATATACAGGCTCGTCCAGGCCTGCATCCAACAACTCTTGCGGAACTCCAGAATACATCTCCAACCAATGCGAGCTCCCCTGTGAAACATGCTTGAGACCCATCAATCCGATCAAAGCATCAACACTGTTCAAAAGAGTCTGTCTGGCGGAGGTTTTAGGGTTTAGATAATGTAATTTTAATGCTTATATTATTTATTGTTATAAATGTTATGACATTTATTAATGATAATAAAGAGGGCACCTCTTCAAAGGGCAGCAGTCGCCGGACTTCCAGTTGCAAGCGCTCTGCCTCTCGAGCACTTCGGATGATGAGCTGAAAAACGGTCTTGGCTGTGTTCTTGGGATACGTGGGGCTGCATAACTACTTGAAGGTTCATGGGTAGTTATAAGTAGGGTTATAAGTAGGGTAACTACAATTATAACCCATATTAGGGGGACTTATAACCCCACTTATAACTACCCATGAACCTCCAAGTAGCCCCCTTCATGCCCGTCACCAGAGTAACCATGTTTACAGTCAGGCTTAACAAGTTGCGGTTTGATTTTTTGACCCGGTGTCCATCAGAGGTTTGCCAGGCTCGGTCTAGAGAACAACTGCAACGACAGTGGGCTCCAAGAATGACAAGGCATCCGCACTTTCCATGGTGCTCATAGGATTCACGCCCATGGTGTGCTAACACGTTCCCGATTGCATCACGGCAAGTAACAGGTACTTTGCCTTCATATAGACACGTTCTGGCTGCCAATCGGCTTGGGGAAGTGGCTACTTGTACTCTAAAGCCGAACAGCGTAGCAGGTTTGTCTAAGTGGCTTAAGGCAAGAAGCGTCAAGAATGGATG